TCCAGCCCCTGCACATGTACTGCCAAGAAGGTTTTTGTTCTCCTTTTGGTTGCAAAGGAGACTCTTGGGGGCAAGATGTGGAGAACCTCATGCAACTCATGATGCGATGTCACCCTGACGTTTAGTGTACGCCTACTCTTCCCCTATTGCTGCAAAAGAAAATAGAAAATTGTCTTTATCGGGCTTCACATTCCCAAAGTTTGACTGGTTGCTCTTGTGAGTTTCTCCAGCAATAGTAAGAGCTGAACTGTGAGAACTAGCGAAGATGTGGTCGAGGGGAAAAAACACACATACACACACAAATGCATGCAGACATGTAGGAGGAGGAACTTCAAGAATCATAGCCTAAAGCAGACTGCTTTTAAGTGAACTGAAGGAAATGCTTTTTCACACAGCGTGTAATCAAACTGTGCAACTCATCATCACAGGATGTTGTGGAAGCCAAAACTGTACGTCTGAAGGGGCAAGAATTCTTCCTGAAGCGTAGGTCTAGCAGTAGTGATTAAACTGCCGGGGTCAAGAAATCCCTGAATTCCTGGCTGCCAAAGGCTGGCAGGGTATGGCAGTTATCCCGTGTGGTGTGGAAGAACTGTTTTTTCTACCATTTTGCTACCGGTTGTTGGCTGACACAGGTCAGCAGGCTGAGTGGGTTCCTGGCCTGCCCCAGGCTGGTTGCTCCGAGTCTGCGATGCATTCTAAGGGGAAGTACAGGCTGTGGGGGGAAAAAAATTCAGTTTGAATATTTCTCTTTGGAAGACCAATGAAGTAGCTGAGTGGAGGGAAAACAGTTAAATGAGGAGTTGCTCATTTAATTACTTATTCTATTTTATTTAATTAGTATTATAACATTCCACAGTGTTGCCAGGACCTCCCCAGTTTTTTTCAGTGTGTTTCCTACAAATTTAATGTAAAGCATGTGGGTGGGACAGGGATAGGTGTGCTGTGAAAGCTTATTTCATATTCTGTCCTAGGCTCTGTATCTGGGCTTAACTTTAGCAAGCAGCTCCTGATGCTGCCCCAAGATCCAGCTGTGCCGGAGCGCTGGCTGAACATCTGCTTGTCTCCCTCCAGCACTGGCAGCTCAGCATGCCGCAGGGGTCTTGCTGCTGGCAGCGTCCCAGGGGTCTGTGAGTTGCCACAAAGCAAATGAGCCCCGGTGGGCAACCAGCTTGTGGCTGTTTTGGACACTTCTGCTGAATCTGATTGTCACAGCACCCCGGTGACACCCTGAGCGCTGCACTCTGTGCCAATGTGCAGCATGGCTGTGGTTGGGCATTAACCATGACAATAAATGTGTGAGCCAGCATCAGCCGGACTTTGCTGGGGGTGGGTGGCAGTTCTGAGGCTCAGCTTTGCCAAACGTTCAGTTCACGCTTCAGGCAAAGGCTGTGCACATGAGGTCTCACCTCCACTGAGGGGTGATGCTGCACTCTCCCCATCAGTGACACACTCCCTGGTCAGGGCTTTCCCACTTTCTCTCTCAGACATGTTTACTGAGATCTGTTCTGCAGGGAAGGAAGAGGGAATTTGACTCTTCTCTCTCCTGAGGCTGGCTGTTTCCTTGTTTTTCTGCTCTCAGTCAATGGAGTGCAACAGATTGGTATCCCCCTTCCAGTACTGGAGATGGGTGCTTAGCTAGTGAGGCTGAGGCAAGCAGGGCAAACGTAAAGCAACCCGACCTTCTGGGCTAACAATGCAGGGTGTGCAGGGATAAGCATCATCCTGAAGGCTGCACAAACCCTGGCGAAAGCTCAGCCATGTGCCCTGGCCTTGGTGCAGCACAGGTCCACACATCAGTACGGGTCACTCTTCCAGCAACAGCAGGAGCTCCTTGCTAGGCTGCTCCTGCCTACCCACTGGACAGAGGAAAGAGGGGGAAAGCAGGGCTGATGATGAGAGCTGAGTGCATCAAAGTAGTAGTGCGAAGCAGGGGGATTACTGCTAACCTGAGCAAAGTTGTATCTCATTTCCCCCAGCGAGGGTCTCACCTTGTTATTGTAGGCACATGCCTGTATACGAGGTATGGCACCGGCACGGCCCCTACGCAGGAGTTGGGGAAGGCCTGCACTGTTTTGAGAGTAGCCCCACAGGAGGCCCATGGGCCTTTGCAAATAAAAATTTGTCTTAGCTAGACTAGGCAAAATTGCTCATTTGCTAATACTAGGAGGCTGATGACAGTACGGCTGTAAACTTCGTTTATCATTGTAGGGTTGCTTGTAGCTTCTGGGATCTTGAAAGCTTGTAAAAGCTTTGTAAAAGGAAAAAAACCCAAAGCCCCAAACTAGTAGTCCACTGCAGCCCTGTTTGGCATGCAGGGAACTCACCGGAGGGTGACACAGACTTTCCAAACACTGAGCTCTGAAAAGGGAGAGCGGAGGGGGTAGCAGTTTGGGTATGTATGTTTTTATCCTTTCACATGAATAATGGCAATTCTTTACTCTGAGGTGTGGAGTTTTTTAAGTGGCCAGCAAAATTTCTGTTCAGACAGGTAACTCTCCTGTCTTTGCCTTCCAATCCATGCAGAAGTTGTTGTGTGCTCGCTAGTTCGGGATCCTAAGTAGGACTGGAGCATCACGTAAAAGGCAATGCCAAGGGAGGCCTCCCCTCAGTGCAGAGCTGAAGTTGTCAACAGCTTGGTGGGTGATGAGATACATTAGCGGGCGCAGACAGAGCACAAAGAGGTGAGCTCTCTGCAGCAGGTCCTCACACAAGGCTATACCACCGTCTCATTGACTTCTGTTTGCCCTCACCTACAGGCTATGCACTGGACAAGAAAGTAGTCAAAAGCAAGGTGGGGGAAAAAATCGGCCTGCCTTGCTGTTATGAAATTCCCAGCTCAGAAACCCTGCGTAATTACCGAGTCTACTGGCAGAAGAACACTACGGAGGTAGTGCTTGCCTACGCAGAGGGGGAGAAGATCTCCAAGCACAATCGGTATGAGAACCGGACAGAGATGGACTCCAGGAATCTCACCCTGTGGATCTCCCCCGTGGAAATCCTGGACAATGGCCCTTACCAGTGTATAGTTCAGCACCTCAGAGTTTTGCAGAACCCAACTGTTGTGTGTGATAAGTCTGTCGCCCTCTTTGTTACAGGTAGGTGGATTGTCTCCTGAGGCTTTCTGGTGCCAGCCTCTGGGGGTAAAGGACACTCCTCCCAGCTTTAGTTATAGTGTAGTTGATTTTCATCAGGAAGCCTAAGAGAGGCCAGAAGGTGTGTTAACTATTTCCATTCTAGCAGCCTCCCTCCTTACCTTTCCAAGGCTATCCCAGGTACAGAAAATTTTGCCTTTCCCACTACCAGTCCAACATCTTCCCCTTGATGCCTCCCTCTTGGGTAAGGACACCCCTGAGACATCTCAGGTACCACTGCTCGTGGGTACCCTAGGCTGCCTCTGCCTCCTGCTATCTTTTAGGCAAAGCAGAGACCAAGCCCTTGGTGCACAGGAAGCGTCCAAGCCGAAAGAGGAATGGGGTGGCATTGCTTGTCTGTGGCCACACCCTGCATCCAACTCCTTGGGAGCCAAGGCTGTCCTGGGGGCCGGCCAGCTTGCCAGCTGCACTGCAGCTCCGCAGCCTAAAGCTGAACTCTGCTGGAGATCTGAGGTTTTTACTTTAAAGAAACACATCGAGTTCCTTTGCTCAAAACGAATCTGAGTCTTTTCTTGGAGGCTACAAAACGTTCCGTTGATATTATTTTCCATTTCCACCACTGTTTTTGTGGCAGTTGGTTTCAACCAAAGGCAAAGATACTGGTAACGTATATAAATATATACATACATTTGAATACTTTTAGCAACAGAGAGTTCCAGTAATCTTCCGGACAAGCCAGTGAATGAGCATTCCCCATCTGGAATAAGATTGATCAGCAAAAACCCTCAAACTCTTGAGGTTTGGCCATTGCCTGCCTGCCTGAGGGCATGGTGGGCATATGTGCAAGGAGATAAATTTAGCGATCTTTCTGGGAACTGATATGAAAAAAGGGAAGTGCACTGCCAGCACCCTCTCTAGCTGTGAGGGCTGAGGAGTTAACTGCATGAAAAATGTGAAACAACGGATCTTTTTTCCTTCACGCAAATACTCCAGTTTCTTTCTCTCCAGAAATCCTTGCTGTCTTAACAGATCAGTTGTAATAATTGTGATAGACTTCTGCTCCCTTTGGAAAAGTGGGATCAGTTATTGTGGGGATCAAGGGAAAGGTCCCCTCGCCCCTGCTGGAATCCAGCTACCCTGAGTGAGGCAGAAAGGTGTTACTCCCTGGTGACTGATCAGGCTGGGAGCCTCGGTGAAGCTGGCTAGGAGGTTTGAAGGGACCTTCCAGACTGGATGTCAGTGCCGTATTGCTCAACAGGCAATGGGCCTAGAAGGAAATCCGTGTCTCTTCTCGTCTGCCACTGGTCAGCCGTGCAATGTTAAGCATGTTTCTTTCACTGATTACTAGTTACTCGGTAGCCGAGACCATGGGTTCATGGTCAGCAGAAGCCGTGGAGGATGCGTTACAACCGCAAGGCTGTCTGCCTTACCCCAGCAGTCCTGTGGTCAAATGGTGAGTCACGCAGGGAGAAACCGCAGACAAATCCTTAGCTGCTCCGAAAAGGGTCATTTTGCAGCGAGTTTTGCTCTCATCTATTTCACCATGCAGCCTCACAAAAGCTTAGAGCAGTACGTCTGACCAGGCAGGAAGTCAGGGAACAAACTGTGTGGGTGGGAAACCTCTGAAAACTGTCTTGGACAAGGAGAAAAAAGTCCAGTGAGAACATGGTCTGAGAGGACCTGTGTATTGCTACGCATTTTTGCAATGACTAGTATGACTTGGTCTTGCTCTCAGCTGGGCCTTCTGGAGGGGCTCTCATGCAGAAAATATAATTCAGTCTCTTGCTGGCCATCCCAGCTGAGAGACCAACATGTGACTCACCTCCTTGCCCAGCAGAGAAGGACCCTCTGTGAGCTTCTGGCTGGAAAGGGACTCATGAGGGAGGGAAGAGGAAATTGTCCACCATTGCCCGTAATACGGATTTTTAATTCAGTCCCTATATTTTTCCTACCTGCTTTATGATTTCTTCTGTTGTTCCACAAACTGCTGTACGTAGAGAGAAACGGCAGCATTGGAGAGGTGGGGTCATGCAGTCTGTGTACTGCCCAGGGAGGAGGAGAAGCAAAGGCCAAGGCCATATCCAGTCAAGGCTGTGGGGAGAACGTCTAAGGCACAAGAAAGGCCAAATATATTATGACAGAGGAAGAATACACTGTGGGGAGTCTTTGCGTTGAATGTGGGTGATTAGGACTGCAGCCCTCACTGTAATCTGACAGAATGGTAACTAAATCTTTCTTACTTCAGCTGACTTCAGTAAGCCGAACATAACAGCAGAAGCATCCGCTAATTCTTGTGAATGGACCGAGATGGTGGTAAGATGTTCTTCTCATGGAGGTTTCCCCAAACCCAAAATCTCTGGAGCCCTCAACAATGAGTCTGTGGTGTGGAATGCCAGCTGGGTGTCCGAATCCAGCCTCAGCCCATACAACGTTACTGGCAAACTGCGGCTCAACGTGACCAAAGACGTCAGCATCACTTGCTCCATTGAATACAATGGCTTTGCCAAGTCCACCAGTTTGCTTCTGAGTAGGTTTTATTGATAGTTTGTGTTACGAAATCAGTTTGTTAAATCTGTTGAGTTGCCTCTCTGAGAAATCAGTAGATTTTGTGTATCTGTTCATGCAAGGATGACCCAGTGATCCTGCCTGTAAGCTGCACACCAAAATATTTCAAAGGCTGTAAGACAGCAGGGGTAGGAGAGGAGAGTTACAGACAGCTCTGTCTTCCTGCTGCTCTACTGTGAGTCACAGCTGGCTGAGAGGGCAACTGGATCCAGTTGTGATCCGGTGATGTCAGCCTCAGTGGCTCTCACAGATTAAGGCTGCACCATTCAGTGCCCCTCTGTACCAGCATGGTCTCGCTGCCAGTTGCGTGAAACAGACCTGGTATTTGAATGGAGGGACTTGAGAAATGTATGTGCCTTAAAAAGCCATGGCTTACACTTAAAAAGAATTTCCATGTTTAACAAGCATGTTTGTTCCTGCTGCAGTGACAGAAACTGTCAGCTGGGTCTAGACAAAATTCTGCTTTCATACACATGTTTAATACAGGGTTAACTCATACGGAAGAAATTCCATCACTGTGCATGGCTTAAAAGTGGTAACATAATAGATAAGTCTATGCTTTGAAAAGCTTGAGGCACAAGTGGAAACAGCATGAGGGAAAGCAGCACACTACAGTCCAGATGCTTTGCAGTAGAAAGGGAGTTGCAAGAAAATTTTTAAAGCCCAAAGGATTTATTTTTTTTAATGTTGTTACCAGAAAAGTATCTGAAATGTATCTGGGTCTGATCTTTTCACTGTAGAGATAAGGGCACCTTCAAGGGAAGCTAAAGAAGTGCTATTTTTCCTAGGGAATTTTACCTTATTCATCAAGGTATCTTATTCATCAATCTTACTAAAATCAAAGGGGCTTGTGAGGAGAGGTGCCATTCAGCTTCAGGATGAATGCCAGAAACTAGTGCTTTATGAATATTGGTTATTTCTGGATGAGGTGCATAATGTCCCTAGAGATGGAAATGGAAGAAGGTAATGGAAGAAGGTTATGAATATCATACTACATAGAAAAGGAGAGCAACAAAAAGAAGTAATAATAGTAATACGCTGTTGCCACACATTCTCAGGGGAAGGTGCAAACAACAGTGACAACAGCAGTCACAAAACCCCCACTTTTTGATTTTTAAGATGTGGAACCACTCCCATTTTGATATGATGAAAATGGTCCTCCAAACAAGTCTTTCATGAACCTGGAGTTCCAGACAATACAGTCTCTGGTAAACGTAGGAGGCCAACCCTACAGTGGAGGGGAAGATTGTACAGCAGATCAGACTGGTGTCTTAGAAGGTGAATGATTCTTAACTGTGCCAGGTGCAGATGATAAAAATCTGAAGTCCTATGAACATGCACCAAGTCTGTCCCTCCTGTTGAATTAGGGTTGTCCTATACTGTACAAGAATGGCCCGTTATCTTATGTCCAAGTGGCAGAATGGTCATCTCCAGTGGTCAAAAGCCAAAGGCTTTAGATCCACTGAAACTGAATTCTGCCACAACACTCTTTTCCTGCCATGCAGGAAAAAGTCTATTCTAGTTTGTTCAATGCATCATTCTCCCCCACCAGTGAAATCAAAGGGAAAAAATTTGGCATAAATCTGGTGAAAACAAGAAGAAAAACTGCAGAGTGCCTTTGAGAATGTAAGTTTCCTAGATATGGACTCAGACTTTCCCACCAAGCCTAACCAGTTTCTTTAAAAGCAGCTTGTGTGTGTTCAAGTATTGCTTGTCTCAGTCCTGTTCAGGACAAAGACACAGCATTTCAGATTCTGTGGACACGTTAAAAATTTCAGCACATAGCAAATATGGGGGAATGGAAGAAATTTAGGTGCCAGCTTTGTCTGTTCATTGAATAGGTGAATTTTCAGGTGGAATATCTGAGTTAGAATTTGGCCAGAACCACCAAAATTCACATACCTGCTCTTACATGAAAATGCCAATATATTGTTGGGCCTTTATTTATGTTTTCTTTCTTCTGTTAGGAAAAACAGGCATCTGCGTTGTCCCTACTGTGCCTCCATCTTATAATGTCATTACTGCTTCAAGTATCATCATTATCATCTTCCTTTTGGCTATCATCCTAGCAGCAAGATACCTCCGAAGGCACGGTAAGTGTAGCTCCTTTTTCAAGAAAGTCTCACTGCTTATGGAGTTTCTATGTAAAATATACATTTATAGAAACTATACTGACACACTAGGTATTTTTGTATCTTCTTCTCATTTCCTTTTTTTCTCTTTTTTTTTTTTTCATGCAGCATCTACTGTCACAAAAACTAAGTCCAGTTCAGGACTTTCCTACATTTTGTGTGCAGGCAGCAGTAGGGTTCAGGTTTGACAGTGAAGGGGTGATGGAGAGTTTTGACACCAGGTCAGAATATTTGCAAAAGCAGAGGTATACAGAATTGAAAAGATTCACAAAGGTCCATTTTTATGTATCAAGATGCTTGAAGATGCCAAGGACCTTGGTGATCATGACAGATACAGCTGAGCACTGACAGTTTCAAAACGGGATCTCTACACACCCTACTTAGACAATCCCTCAGAAAAGTCACAGAGCCAAAGTCACAAAAACACATAGTGCCAGGGCCACAGAAAGGACTTAAGCGTAGTAATGTCCCACTTTTAGGAGAATCTCAATCAGAAGAGATGGATTTGTCTTCTTTGTGTGGCCAAAACCAGCACAGGTGAGGTTCCCTGTCCCACCCTATGAAGTCTTCAGTAACTGCAAACATGTCTCCAGGAGTTTTTTCAATGGCAAAGGGGACCTCGAGCATCTCAGGGTTAGCTGGCAGCTGAGTAGATTTATTTGGTTTTTTGTGGCTCAGAAAAAATCTCATCTGTTAGCTGTTGCTAATCATGTCTAATCCAACCTAGGCAGAAAGCTCCTAAAGATGTGGGTAGAGATCTAATGGATTTATAAAGGCAGCTAGGCATGCAGTCAGTATTGAAAGTCCACAGCAGTAGATGTCCTATCCACACCCCGTTAGCAGCTTTGTAAAGCAGTCCTGGAGAAAGACAGCGGGCCTTGCAACATGTTATAAATACCACCCAATCAAGTTCTGTCAGGTCGCTGGGGAAGTCAAGTCCAGAGGCAAGAATCCCACACTGAGAGCGCTCTATGTTCAGCCCACTTAAACCAGAAGCCACCAGCCTGAGCATCTTAGCTCATCACAGTTGCAGCGGTATCCCCCGTTGGAAAGAGGTTACTTGCTAACAGGCAGCGGGGACTCGGTTCACTTAGGGACACTTGTAAGTTCGTCGTGCCTGTGACTTCTGCTACCTCTATTTCAACTTCAGACAAGTTCACTCGCGAGTCAGAGGTGTGGAGGTAGCATTACTATTTTCCTTTTCCCCTCCTCACCAACCACATCCCTTGAAAATCCAATGTGACCACTGAGTCAGGTTGAGCTCATTTTCCTTTTGGTGTTTTATCACAGAGAAAGGGAACATCTGGAAGGCAGTGACTCTTGGCTACACCTGTGCACCTCCTCGTTTTCCACTCATGTGCCCCAGTGCTGGTTCTGCCCTGCTGCTCCCTGGGGCTATGTCAATGGGAAAGGAGCAGGTTGAAACCAAGAAAATCACAGCTGATCACAGCCTGTGCTGTTGGCTGTGTGGATAATGAACTTTTAATTATAGGAGAAAATGAACTGGAATTGGAAGATTTGGCTCTAAACAAATATAGGCTGGAAATTAAAAGGTTCCTTACCATTAAATTAGTACGATTCTGGAGCATTCTGAGATAGTCTTTTATATAGAAACCACATAGCTTATGAAGTAGATGTAAAAAGCATACCAATGTGGTAGAACGTGATCACCTGCAACAGCACGGGACATGGCTGCATAAACCGGAATTTCCCCTTCAGTCCCATTTTCCTAGTACGCACAGGGAGCAGATTTGCCGAGTCAGGTGGTGCTATTTTGTACAGCCGCTTTCCAGACCAGGCATAGACTGCAAGAAACTGAAACTAGAGCTTCAGTCCAACTTCTCGGTTTGTACAGTTGCAACATTTCAGTGCTGCCGTGCGTTGCCACCTGACTGGGAAGGGAAATATCTGTCCTAAGAGTGCTTCCTGCTGGTGTTGCTACAGGTCACCTTTCAAAAGCTATTGTGGGAGCTTGGAATAGGTCTGAGAGTACTTCTGTTGTTCTGGCATATGGAAAGCTGAGGTCGGGAGCTGTCTTGATGCTGAGTTGTTTCTGAGCTCAAAAAGCCATGCTTCAAAGACCTGAAGTGTGGGAGGGAAGAACAGAAAGACAAAGACAGAGCAAAACGGAAATAAGAGTTCTCAGATGCGTGATTGTGGTGGTGACCAAAACATGTAGATGCTTTGTTGAGGTTCACAACCTCCTACTTTGAGGAGCTCACAGCCTATCTTTGCAGTAATTTAAGAATGGAAACTATCTAGATTTTTTTTTGTGGCTCTTCAATTAATTTAACACAAAGCACCAAAACAAGATTAGAGGTGGCTTAAAGAACAGCTTAGGATCCATGTTGTAAAATTTGTGCATGCACAATTTGCTATAATAGTACAGAGAAATTCAACTTGAATTATTAAAACAAAAGTAATTCATAGATGCTGAGATACTAAGGGGGCTCCTTTAATCTGAACTCCTTTTAAAGCACTGAAAGAGTTGGTTGGCGGGTTCTAACACCGGCATTCTATCGCTCGCTTGGTAAACTGCATTTAGTGACATGTAGCTTTTAACTTTTACCATTATTTCCCTTCAGACCTTATCTTAACATGTAGCAACCTGTCTTTCTGCCAGGCTGAGGCCCTAGCCCTGTGCTAATGAGAACTGCTTTTCCATATGGCAATATATAGATAACATCTATATAGAACAGAGCTTTCTCTCAGATCAGACTGTGGCTATGGGCCAGCCATATTCAGAGGTACTGCAGTGATGAGTCCTGCCAAGGAAAAATCAAAGTAACTAGACCTAAAAGTTTTCATTTTCTTTAATTTCTCTCTCCTTTCTTCCCACTCTCAGTTATACTTTACTTTGCTGAAGAAGACATTTGGATTCAGCACTTCTATGTCTTCTGGAATTCCAAACACTAATGAGAGATCTTCTTTTTCAGTCTGTTCTCACTGTTGTAAGCCTCAGGATTCAGTGGAAGAGGGTGTGAAAGAATGTACAAAGCCACCCGTGAGCTTTAAAGTGACATCTGAAACGTCATCTGTATGACCAGATTGCATTTGCAGGTAGTTTTCTTCATCATTCTTCTCTTGGCAAAATAGCTTCTCAAATACTGTTAGATTCTCATGCGATGTTTAACCACGTATGGCTTTTAACAGGAGTGTGTGCTGTCCTTTAGGGTAAATAAAAGCTGTAGAGCCCTATTGCCAACTCAGACACATGGTGTTTCCCAGTCAGGTAACTAGAGGAATGATGCTCATGTTGCTTCTGGGGCATTGCTTTGTTTGGCTTATTTCAAATTTCTATAAATTAATCTAGTGAGAAACATTAGAGGAACAAATTTCCTGGGCTGCTCCGCTGCTTTCTTCACAGAATGGGCCCTGCATGTATGACAGGCAAGTTTTTGTGGCATTCCTTTCTTTAATTAACATAAATTTTTAGGGATTAAATGAGGATGAAGGGAGAGAGAAATGAAAGAAAAGGAACATTTGACAACTTTGACTGTCAGTGTCTCCTCTGAACCTGTGTGAGGAAGCTTAGTATCTGAGAGCTGGGTTTGTAGCACAGTCATCCATCTATCAGGATCTGCAGTGACATCCCTTGCCACTGCCCTTGTGCTCATTGTATGTGCCTCCCAACTGAGAACTGGGCAATCTTATAGTTCCTGTCCTGTTGGACTCATTTGTGAGTAGCTCATCCCTACTACAGGTCCCACATGTGGCTTCATCCCCTAGAAGTGATTTCTGGCTGATGCCCTGTGAGCCATGTACCAGATCTACATGCATAAACATGGGAACATCCCTGATACAGAAGCGAAAGACTGACAAAACGATGGTGACGGGAGAACAACTCCATCTTTCCCACTAAGATTAGCAATGCCAGTTCACTTCTGAGATAGCCCCATTCCCTTCAGCAGTTGGAGGAATGGAGAAGGAAAAGTTTCCCCTCCAAGACTTGCCCAGGAAACGCTCATATTTTAAAAGGAATTACTTTTGATAATGAAGTGTTGCCAAGTACGGGCAGGGGAAGAGTCCAGCTTACCAATGTTCCATGACTACAAAGCATTATGTTCATTTTGGCTTGAAAGTTCAGCTGTGTTCAGAGCCATGTCCTCCAAAAAGACATTTTTCAAGTCAAGAGACTTAAGGAAAGATTAGCAGCTAACTGTTCTTATTCGCACCATTATCCCGGTGACGGCATTTCCTCTCTCACCACAGCATGCTGACTTGCCAGGGTAATGCTGTAGAGTAACAGCTGTAGAGTCCTAGAAGTCATGAATTTGTCACGCTGTGAGTTGCAGTAATCTAAAGCTTAACGTTTTTGAGATAGAAAGGAGGAGAAACTATCATTCAGGCTACTCGTCTCATTTCCAAACTTGACCACCCACTCATGTTTTCCTCTGGGGAAGGCCCTATCTGGAACAGATACTAGAGCCTTGGTTAGCATGAATTCTGGGGGGTTTTGTCATGGGAGTGGCAGGAGTTCACCTATTGAATAAATCCTTTCTGCCACATTCCTCTTTTGCTATAAAAGTTTGCCAGGCTTTTTCTGTAAAAGTGGCTGGTGTTTCCCAACTCCAGTGCCTGGAACAGCTGCTGTGCGTGGACAGGGATGGAGGCTGTGCTTCCTCAGTGGCTGACTGTCGTCTGGTAACTGTGCGATGTGCTGAGCCGTGTCCTGTTGCTGCTTAAATAGAGTAGCACGTCCATTAGCCGTCCCGGCTCTGCAGAGGGATTGCACCTCCGTACGTCCAAAGGTTTTGGCAGGAAGCATTGAGCCCGTCTGTGGCTCTCTGGTGCCCACCGTGAGCTGTCCGGCTCCGAACAGCTCTGGCCTTACTGTAACAGGAGCCCTCTTGTGGAAGGCGACCGCCGGTGATCCCCGTTTGTCTCAGCTCTGCAACGTTCTGGCTTACTTTTAGGATTAAAAACGAGGGAGGGAAAATCAGTAAAATCTTTCCTTTGTGTCCCTCAGGTTTCTTATCCTGTGTATTCCGCACTGCAGTTCCCACTGTTTGTTGTACAGCAATGCTTACTGCGTTGACCCTTCGGCTCCCTGAAAGGGGATGACAGCAGTAGAAAACTCTGCTCAAGAAGACTGACAACATAACCTTGTGTGAATGGACACAAAACCCCACCTATGCCACAGAAGCTGTGGGGTGGTCTCATTACAAGGGAGTCACTGGAATTCCAGCTGGGAGGACTCCCTGTGTTCCTGCAACAGGGCAGAAGAGGAGCATCATCAGCATCGACACATCGGTTCAAAAGTTTGGGATCCTCTGGCTTCAATGCTGCCTCTATGAAAATCAGGGGGCCTGCAGAGCCCTGGTAGGTAGCCCATGCCCACCTCGCCCTTTAGTAACGCAGAGCTGGCCTTCAGGAGACCCCAGACCCTGACACACAACCTCAAGTCAGGCTGTGCCTCCATGTTGTGACTGGGAGCAGCTAAAACTTCTTTTAGATTCAGCCTCGCACAGGTATCTGCCAGTACTATTCTTTGTGCTGGAGGACTTTGGATTTGGACTTGACCAGATACATGTCCATTCTCTCCTAAAGAGGCAATAATGCAGGCACTTTTCATGAAAAAGCACCTTGAGGTGCGACTATATGCCTCATGCTTATTTTCAGTGCTATGAGACTTCTTAGGGAACGATACGTACTGACGGCACACCTAACGGCTAACTAATATTGCTTACCTACAGCAGTGGCAGAAGTTCTCGTAACCTTTGTCTCCTGAAAGGATGGCCTCACCAACCCGGGTACCAAGATACGGCTCCTCCAGGGCGTTACTCAGAGATGCAGGAGCACACCTGCCGCAGCGCAGCCCGCTGCTGGTGGTGTGTGTGAGCGCGCGCACGCGCGCACCTTTGCGCACACACATGTACAAGCTTTCATATGCTTTTATATTTTCATTTCTACCCACACTCATAAAGCGCCATTTAAATTTCTGTAACACTCAGGGGTTATCTCACGGACCTACTGTAATGAAACGTAACTCAGGGCCTTGCTTGATAAACGTGTCTGTGTGTGTGTGTACATTTGCCGAGGAATACTCATCAGGGTAGGCTCTCCAGATTCTTGGGAGTCTCTCACAGCAACACAGGGATATAGTTTTTGCATTGAATGCTGCTGCTTTCTGCCAGTGTTCTCTCTACCCAGCCAGGATTTGAAGGAGGATCCCTACAGGATGCTAACGTCGGATAGGACTCATCTGATCTGGGTTATATTCTTGCCTACTGTGTAGGAAAAAGTGGTTTCTCATTTTGAGGGGAGAAGAGGAAAAAGCCCCAACAAGCTTCCTAAGCAACTCTGCATGCTAACTTAACTGCCCCAAGTTTGACAGGCGTTTTTCCCTTTTGTTCTGTCCCACTGCAAGCTGCACTCATTCCCTTACTGCTCTGTCCATGTGTGTAGTTAGCAGACCAGACCAGTCTGAAAGCACCATGCTGTCCTCTTTGTGAGATGTTTTGGTGCTTGAGCTGCGTATCTTGCTAGGACACAGAAAACAAATATTCCATCCATTTAACTTTTTTCTAGCACATACATATTGAGAGAGAAAGCGCTGGAGGAAACAGGAGGACCAAAAGCGGCTTATACAGGATTGAGCTATGAAAGGCTGAGGGATCAAGTCGCTAGTTAAAAACAAGACGCTGCTCCCTTTCTACTCGTGCAGAGTCACGCTGCCCCATCAGCTTTTTTACTGCTTTCCCATTGTAGGAAGTGAAATGGGAACTTCAGAGCATTCTTATGGAGGGATTTTTGACAGAGAAAAGGAGGTAAGGTGAGTGATAAGGAAACAATACTCTTTGCAGTTGTCCATTCTGGTTGCAAGCAGAACATAGCTGACACAGAAAGCAGTGCTTCCAAAAAGCAGCCTGACCTTATTGCAGGACTTGGTGTATGGGCAATGGTGTCTCTCATACTTTTCAAGTTTCCTTTTCTTTCAGTCTATGCTTGTTCTTTCCAGCACAAACTACTAACTTCTTGCAGGCCGAAGACCCTTTTTGTATTTGCTTGGCTCATTTTCAGCATTGTGCTTCCTTCCCTGCTATAACCACGATGCATTTCCACCTTACCAACCACACCACAGCTCTGACAGTTGTACCGGCATGACGTTTTCCCTCCAGCTATCCCATGCTCTACTTCTGCTCCTGACAGATGATTGCACAGCCTCCTGGAGGTTTGTCTTTTGCACTGTGCCAAACCTTTCTACATCATCACAGACTCCTGTGACACTTTAAGTAACTCCTTCTAAAGGAAACAAAGTTTCACTGACAAATACCTTTAGCATCAGTTTGGTTTTATATTCTTGACGGGCAGGTTATTTGGTTTATTTTTTCCTTAAGCACTTATACTATGAATCATGTTTTCTCTTTGCCTTATGCTGTATTCAGTGAATTGCACACAAATGGTTTCTGTGAGACCTTTTCAGCTTAATATCTGGGTCTTTGTACCAGGTGAGCTGCTCTGTTTATCACAGGTAGTTTGTATGTAACATTTTTCCCGGGGTTCCTCTTTAATTGTATTAAAAAATAAATTGTAAACTCAGTTTCCTTTCCTCAGTAATAAAAGATGTCTGTTCTACGTGCTGGGAAGTGGTAGAGCCTTTCAATTATTCACGTGAGCCCCAGACACCACTTTGCAGCTGCTAAAAACGCAGGCTGTGTGGCATCAAGGTAGGTGATGCAGCTGGTTGACAAAGCTGTAACAGGTACAGCTGGCATCCAGACACAGCTCTGTTTGGTGTGCTCAACAGCAATGACAAAATGGCACTCAGGTACCCAACCTGTAACTTCCACACACCTCATGTCTGACAATTTATCAGGGATTAACTGAGCAGCACAGCCATGGTGCTCGACGATGCTAAGTTTGCAATGGGTCTTCCTTCTCCCTCCCAAAAAGGGACGTTCTCTGAAAAGCAAAATCCAGTGTAAGGTGGTCTCACTGTACCCCTGCTACTTGTGCTACCTACCCTGAAAGTGGAGGACCGGGAACTTCAGTGCTATGCTTTTGCTGGGAGGGAGAGGGAGTGAGGGTGTGAAGAATCCC